GTTTTGATTTGCATTTCCCTGATGCTTAGTGATACTGAGCATTTTTTCATGTGTCTGTTGGTCGTTTGTATGTCTTACTTTGAGAAATTTCTCTGCAGTTCCTTTGCCCATTTTTTAATCAGGTTACTTATTTTTTTACTGTGAAGTTGTTCCTTGTATATTCACTACCCTTGCATCTTGCCTGTTTGTCAGCTTGCTAAAGAAATATCCAAGTTCAAGGGAAAGATGGCACAGCTGCTTAGGGAAGGTGCCTTCCTCTGAGATGCATATTTCAGTAGGAAAACCACTTAGAACTGGCAACAGACAGAAAAGTATCTTACCAGCTGTTAAGTAGAGCCAAAAACAAATATTAAGGTAATTGGAGTAGTCTGCGTTAGATTACAGGACCCTACATTCCTCCTCCCAGTGATGGTTATCAAGGCTGGTTATCAGAAGCTTCCACTTGGGAATTCAAGTAGAATAACATCAAGAACAATTGGTTTATAGCCTAACCCTCAGAGTGACAATAATCATGAGTTTACTTTTACTTTATTCACTTGGATAAATGATTTTTTTCCCTTCATAAAGCCTGGTGTCCCGAGAAAAAGAGGGTTCTTTGTCCATTTCTGTCCACTTGTTCAGTAACATTTCTTAAGCACATCTTTGTTCCAGGATCAAAGGATGATGAGGAGGAGAGATACAAAGATTGATAGGATATAGATGTTGATTTCGAAGAGTTCTATCTCCACACACATTTAGATTTTCATTGATAAAGAAGCAAAGATGCCAGATTTAGTTTCTCACCTAATTTAAGTCATGGATCAAATTGCTTCTTGCAAATACATTCAGTATCTTTGGCCTCTGAAGAAAATATTCCCTTCATGACTTAATTTTCCACATCAGCTGAGGCTTTTCTGTTAAATTCTTAAGGCTGCTTTCTCTTAAATGTTTCTGATTAAACTCTTTTGTTATATGCCTTCCTTCCTGCTCTAGAGAAGCACCTGGGCCTTAATTAGCCCTTTTGCAGTGAGTCAGTGTCACAGCACATNCACATATTCCTTCAACATGATTTCCTTTCCTTGTGGTATACAGTCAGCAGTGGGATTGCTGGGTCATATGGCAGTTCTATCTGTAATTGTTTGAGGAATCTCCGTACTGTTTTCCATAGTAGCTGCACTAATTTACAGTCCTACCAACAATATAGGAGTGTTCTCCTTTCTCCACATCCTTGTCAGCATTTGTGATTCTCTTTTTGATAATGGCCAGTCTGACTGGGGTGAGATGATATCTCATTGTGGTTTTGATTTGCATTTCCCTGATGCTTAGTGATACTGAGCATTTTTTCATGTGTCTG